TGGCAAAGTCCATCTCATTCATACACATTCACACACCGATGCTATGCATCGGGGGCAATTTGGGGGTCTTGCTCAAGATAGACACGTGACACGTGGCAGGAGGAGCCGGAGGAGCCGGGGATCGAACCAACAACCTTCTGATTGGGGGACGACCCGGCTCTGCCTCTGAGCCACAGCCCACTTGTATTCTGAAAACAGATACAAGTCTGGATTTCTTAAGTTCCATTTACAGTTTCTTTAGTTAATTTTTTGTATGTTTCAGTTGGTTTAGATCGGATCTGTGTCACATTAATAATATTAGTGCTTCCATTCCTGGGATCGAAAATTTCAATATTTCAGGAAAAATATGAATCCCTAATGCATACCATTGCACATAGATCTTTTTACAACATATTTCTATTACTATTCATAGTATTTTTTTATTGTATTCCTTATCTCATCATTTTTTATTCCCTACATATGTGTGCTGTTGTGAAGCGATATATAAAGATCTATTTACAGTCTGGCTGATTTCATTGATTTAAAAATGTTAATCTGTTTCATTAGTGCTGTCCACCACCATTCAATTATTTATTAGGTCAACCTAAAGCAAATGTGAAATGATTCAATTATTCCACCTTAACTCATATTTAATTTAATTAACACTGCTGCTGCATGGTCAATCTGTAACACTGCTATAGTGTGCAGTATACTGCACAACAAATAAGTCCAAATAAAGTCGCACCATCTAAATAGAGTAACAAGACAAATTTGACCCTTTTATGGTAGTCATGTATGTGTAGTATAGACTCATGCATACCTGTGGCACACAGCGCCACAAAGGTCTGAGCGTGCTTTCTGAGTATGGGTCTGTTCTCTCTCCTGACAGGCAGCTGCGACAGGAAGTGGTCAATGAAGTCAAGCGGAGTCACTGAAGCCAGGTCCCACTTCAGCTTGTTCAGAACCAGCAGCTCCATTTGCTGTGAGTTTATGGAGGACAGAGACATAGGGACAGAGGACAGGTTTAAGTGTGATCCACACAGACAGATGCCAGGATTAACAAAGATGGGGATGGATATTTTTTCTGTCTACTTATGGGATTTTTGGGATTTAAGGTGGCACTGGAGGAAAGGTCAGTGGGGTCATCAAAACCATTATGAATCCACTTCTTGGGGTCCATAAATGTCCATAGCCATTTCCACCAAGTCATGGTCTAAGTGTTGGTCAAGGGGAAAATCTAACCTTGTGGTCTGGCTAAAAAACTCTTCAAGGGAGCATCAAATCCCTTCAGAGCTGCCTGATGGACACTAAGACACACACTTTTCCTGTGAGGGTCAGCAGTGAAGGACCTACCAGCAGCTGAGACGGTGTGACAGAGTTGTCTGTGTAGATGCAGAGTTTCTCAGCAGTGAGTGGGATTGTTTCCTTCAGTTTGGATGCCAGGAACATACAGGCAGCTCCCAGTAACTGCAGGTGGTTCTTCTTGGTGGGTTCCACTGACAGGAAACGGTCCATGTAATTCATAGCCAGAGGGAAAACATCTTCCTCGCACTTCTGCTCTTCACACACCTGCACAGGCAAAGCAGACAACAATACTGTCATGTCAGTTTACTTGATAGTGTCATTATACAATGTACTGTTAATATGATCAGTTACATTGGTTTAAAGGTTCTATGTGTAAGATTCTGAAGAATTTTACATACAATTTTTATGTATTACCACTTTTTTATGGCAATGTGTGAATGGGATACAAGGAAATCCAAAGGATGAGACTTTTCGATATTACGAAATGATTCATGATTAATGTGGAATGATGTTTTCACTGAAAACACTTAAAATCATGAAATTATTTTTGGAGGCCGTACCAAACACATTTTTTTCTTAAATCTGGATCGGGGCAGCACTAGAGTACTTCATCATAATGCTGTTTTATCACATATTCTATCTCACAACTTTTGCGATTTGGATACTACACATGGCCATGTTGCGATTTTCATAATATTGCGATTAATTGTGCAGCCCCTAACAAGAAGAAAATTAAGAAATTAACTTTAAAACTAACTGGAAGATTTCCATGAATGACAGAAAACCCTTAAAACAAAAGACAATTTTGATTAATTCAAGTCAATTAGCAACTAAAAATTAAACATTGTGAAATGTGAATTTGTTGCTTTTCTTGGTTTATATCATTAACTGAAAACCTTTAAGCAAAAAAACAGGTAAGGCGACAAACTCAAGATAATTCTATATAATGTAAACTGAATTTTTTAAGCAACACTAACTCAACTTACTTAGCAGCTTTTACTACTAATTTGAAATAAATTAGTAATAATTCCTGTTCTATTTGAAATATTGTTTCTGAACATACATTCCTATAGTAATACTTTGATGATTTATATATAAATATATATTTTTTTATTTTATTTTTTTAGGGGGGCTGCTTTTTTTCTCTTATTTACATAGGACTACTGAAGACAGACAGAGAGGGGGGCATGACATGCAGCAAAGTGCCACAGGTTGGACTCAAACCCACGGCCACTGCAGCAAGGACTGAGCCTTTGTACGTGGGGCTCCAGTTCTACCAGGTGAGCTATCTGGGCACCCCACTTGTATTAGTGTCTGATAATAATACTATATTGATTTTAATAGTATT